AGCTGGTCGATGCAATGGCCAGCTGTACTCCAACATGGGATGTCTGTCAGCTATCTCCACTCTGCACATTTAGTGTAGTTCCTGGATCAATTGAGATGATGACATACCCAGACACTCCATGGGACTGCCATATATGCCGCCCCATTGCCCCCCTTTCAACCACCCCAACTGATCGGCAGTCCTATGGCAGTCCCATTAGCCGTGTCTGGGATAGTATGTTCACATCAACTTTGCCAGGGTTGACCGCTATCGGTTTGAATTCGTTTTCGTTCAATTCAATAGGACGTGGAAATATCGCGTTTTTCAACATCATCACGACATGGATATTGGTGTAGTTTGCAAGGTTGGTGCACTCATCTGGTTGAGTCTTGTTGACAGGAATTCCTGAACAACCTCAGCGAACAAACCTCCACAAGACATCAAACACATGCATCTTTGGTGACTTGCCGGTAAATGTTCAGCACCTGGAGTGTCGTTCTGTGCCTCGGATCATTAAACACAACCAACAAAAACAACTGCAAGTATCTGTAAATTATGATCGCACGGATCGATTCTGTTGGACGTTCCAGTCTCCGAGTATCCTTTTCCAAGGACACTCAACATTATTCATGATGCCACTCCTAGCTGAATAAAATACACAGTACTGGATTATACACTCAATGATACGAATTCCGAACATATGATTCTTCAATATTCTTCAGGTATTCCTCAAGGCTCTACCTTTGCCCCGTATCTGCTCTTGTCTCGCGATGGCAATCTCAATCACTTCTTTTCATCTCACCACATCAATTTAGCCCATCAAAATTCTCTCCCCCCCTTCCCCACCCCAAATCGGCGCTCTGAAGCAACCCAAGCCACCCAAAAAGAAGGCGGGTGGCTTCTGGCCCACCCGCCCCGCAGTCCCCACAGCCGTGCGCAGTCCCCAATCGGTGCGCGCGGCTGTTCAGCTCCTCGTCCCATGGTCTCCAGGGCTTGATCATCCGCTTCAGCCCGATGGGCGCCCTGCGCCAAGGCCTCCCAGACCTGCCAAGGCCAAGGACCCACGGTCCCCACGGAGCTATGCGGAGCGGAGTGAGCTGCGGAACCCAAATCAGGTGCCGGAGGTGTGCGGTGAAACGGAGGAGGTGTGCGGTGTGCAGGGTGATATCTTTTTTGGTTGATGAGCGTGGATCAGTTTGACCCTCAAGATCCCTCAAGAATCATCTGCGGGTAAAGATTCAACCAAGGATAACCAAGGTCTTTATTTCTTTCAAAAGAACATCCCCCCCAAAACCCCGGTCACCAAACACTTTCATCGACACGTCTTGGCACAAATAGATACAAATAGTGACTATAGTGACATATAGTGACTATAGTGTCCCCAAAACCACTAGGATGTCGCAAGTTGCCCACGCTTGGAACGGTGGGTTTTTGGTTTTCCGAGACTGCAGGGCGAAGTGCCTGGAACGTAGTGGAAATCCGTCTCGCCCGACCATCCAACGCCCTTTCCCACGCACCTGCTGTTGCCCCAGGGAAGCTGCCCAGTGTAAGGCTGTCTCCCCATCCTCACAGCACAGCCGAGGATCACCTTTCGCCACCAGCAGCGCCCGACACACCTGGCGGCCGGGAGACCGGCCTTCCGTCCAAAGGTCTTCTCAGATTTGAAAAGATCCTCATCATCAGCGGGAGGCCCTCTCTTTGACAGTTGTGAACATGTGGGGAACATGGTCACATGGTTGGAGATCCTATAATGCATACCTCGCGGGGTAGATGCATACCTCGCGGGGCTCCAGCTCCAGCCAGTGGCGAGAAACCCTTCGAGGTCCCGACCCCACCGACCCCACTGACCCCCACCGACCGGTGGACCACCACCGCCCGCTGGACCGTCGCCTGTCCCGCAGGATCGGCGCTTCGCAGCACCTGACCGGGGGGGAGGACGACCCGGCGCCGGGAGCGGAACACGGAGGTCCAACGGAGACAAACACGGTGGAACCCATCCAAGCCAGTGCAAATGCTGAGGCTAAGTTCGCCAGGTTTAGACTATAATGGTACATACCTTGTCACGTGCAAGTGCACCCGTTCACATCTGCTGGTTTTTCAGTGCTTAACTTGGCCACTTGGGGTTTTGGGTGGGGATTGGAAGGGCAACCTGGGGCACCACTGTGGGCACCACTTCAATCACCCGCCCAAAGCACCTCTCAAACCACCACGTGAAAGGACGATCGTTTTTTTTCAGGTTGTTTAAATTTACAAAGAGGGTGTTATCGCTTTTTGACTAGAACCTGCTGAGTGAAGCATTGTGCATGATCACTTTTGCAAAACATGTCAAATCCAAAAACACTGTGCTGAGTGAAACCGATGTGGAAAATGCCAGGGATCACGACAAATTTCGGGGGAGCTCTTATACCAAGGGTGGAAAGGACACGATGAACAGGGAACAGGGAACCTTGAGCCTGTTTTGGTAAAACAAAAAGCAATGCATTAAGACACGGAGGGGCTGGGACATGGGGAGGCGTTTTGGGATTTGAGCTGAACTTCCGTTGTGAGCTCGGGTCCCAGTGTTTGACCTCCAGGATACATCAGTTCTTCGGCCAATTGGTCATCTCTTTGCCCCCTGGTCTTTCCTAGTTTCCTTAGGTTGAGCTCTGCCCCTGTTCTCCGACACCCAGAAGACACCGAATATGTTCCGGTTATTCCACCAATTTCCACAAATCCATGACACTGCTTTCGCCGGACACCACCCGCTCGCAAAGCTTCCAGCATGCTGCCGAAATTGCCAGGCCCTTTTTTGTGGATGGATGATATCTATTGTGCTTTCTGCATTGAGGGGCTGATGGTCATCATCGTCATCATCATCACGAATCATCAACCATGAATCATGAATAATCAACTATGAATCATGAATCATTATCATGAACGTCATCCATCACCATCACCATCACCATCACCATCACCATCACCATCATCACCATCATCACCATCATCATCATCATCATCATCATCATCATCATCATCATCATCATCATCATCATCATCATCATCATCATCATCATCATCATCATCATC